GATTTACTTTAGATTGGCGTCAGCAAAGCTATGGTTGTATTAGCGAGACTCTTGACGCCTGGTTAAACGACTCGTATCCACTCGTGGAGAAACACCTAACTTAACACAGTTGACAGCCAATCATTAACATGGCAACCTAACTGCCGGTATGCAAAGGGATCACAAGAGTTCCAACCGGATACTCGGTAATGATGATATGCAATAAATCAACAACTACACTGTCAATGGGACAGGCAATAACATGCACAATAATATTATCACACAATAACTAAATGTGTGGTGTATGTGAAGCTCACATTCAACAGACGAGTGAAATGCCGTGATACCACACAGATAAACACGCATTCACCGTCGATTCACTTATGACCTGTGACAGGTATGAGAAGGTGAGAACTGTGGTTGATCCCTCAGATCAACACAGACACAATAAACAATGACAAAATCTTGTACTTACAGATAAGGTACCATTCCTTACTCACTCACTCAGGCACATTTATACAAGCACTCGTAGATGGCCTGACAGCTGGCTTCGCTCGTAGACACGGAGGGTACTTGCAGTAGGGCGGGCTGTATGCTTAGCAGACACACGTACACACTGGCATTGTCGATGAGTAAGGTGGTGACGTCATGTAGTAATGAGGGCGGCGGCAGGCGCTCGAGGCACAGAGGTACAGAGGTACAGAGGTACTAGGGTACTGGGTACACGCTCGTGGCGGCTGGCGGCGGCTGTGGTACCATGCAGGTACACTTGTGGTAAAGTCACACACAGGTTACTTAGGCGGCGGCAATGCCTTAGTTCACTCTTAAGTCACTCACAACAATCTTTGTCACCAGGGGTTACCTGATACCAGTCTGTTTCGCTCTGGAGATTTGTCACTTAAGGCTTCTGAATAATATATTCCCACTCGTGATTCTGGGCGAGTGTGTCGTATAATCTTCAGACGCTGAGTTAACTTGACGGTGAGGAATAGACAGTGTTCTTCTATCTATTGGCCGTTAGATAGAACAGGACACGTCCTCTATGCAAGAGATCCCTCACAAGAATGCCTGAAGCTCAGGGCGTCTTGTGGCTTAAACAAGGGGATTACAATTTGACCAATGGCATTGCAGGAAATGAGCGGGAACCAATCATAATGACCGTTCGATGAGCAGTAGGAGAGGTGACGTCATGAACACGTCATGAACACCTCATAACTGTTAATGTCCATCGCGCCGGTTGACCCCAGAGGTCAGACGCTGCTAGCGTCTCCCCTCTCTCTCACGCTCCCACCTCCCAATGTACTCATTGACCCTAGGTAGCAAGTATGCTTAACTCCCTGTATCTACTTCCTGCCTGGACATACGGCGGCCTCCGTATTATGAAAGTGTTCCTGGTTAAGTGGGCATTCTGGAGATACCCAACATGCCAGGTCACTATCCAGGGTTAACAGAAATAGGACCTTGTGCACAAGATCGGTGCACTGTGCACTGCAATGAGCCATTCCAGTCAGCTGTGGGAGAATCTTGAGAGACACTCTCTCACACCCACCACAGGCTCACCGCAGGCACACCGCAGGCACACCGCAGGTGCACCGCAGGCCCACCACAGACCCACCACAGGCACACCGCAGGCTCACCGCAGGCCCACCGCAGGCCCACCACAGGCCCACTGCAGGCCCACCACAGACCCACCACAGGCACACCGCAGGCTCACCGCAGGCCCACCGCAGGCCCACCACAGGCACACCGCAGGCTCACCGCAGGCCCACCACAGGCTCACCGCAGACTCACTGTAGGCCCACCACAGGCTCACCGCAGGCACACCGCAGGCTCACCGCAGGCCCACCGCAGGCCCACCACAGGCCCACCACAGGCCCACCGCAGGCTCACCGCAGGCCCACGGCAGGCCCACCGCAGGCCCACCACAGGCCCACCGCAGGCTCACCGCAGGCACACCGCAGGCCCACCGCAAGCCCACCACAGGCCCACCGCAGGCTCACCGCAGGCCCACCACAGGCCCACCGCAGGCTCACCGCAGGCCCAACACAGGCCCACCACAGGCCCACCACAGACTCACCGAAGGCTCACCGCAGGCCCAACACAGGCCCACCACAGGCCCACCGCAGACTCACCGCAGGCACCCCGCAGGAGGACAGGGCCCAAGGAATCAAGTAGCGCGGTAAAGCATCATCACTGACGGGAACTCGCGGGTTATAAAAGCTGACACAAACATTCAAACAGCAACAGCCCATAGAGCCAAGCTGAGCTGACCGGATTTCAGGAAAATTCTGAGCCAGTAGATCTATGGTGCTCTATAAATCTTATGTAATTATACACGTTTGGAAATCATCGAATTAACAAGTTTTTCTATTTAGATGTCTTGTATACGCTGCCAGGTGATGTTTGATGAAGATTAACCCACCCAAGAGGGAACACGGGCATGAATAGCCCGTAATGAAACACTGCCAGCAAACGACTAAGGGTAATACACCATAAGACAGTCATTATGACTGAGAAGTACGATATAGGCACAACAGTTTTAACTATATATGTAAGGTACAGACTATAAGGTGGATGATGTGAAGTGTACTTATCTAGTTGTGCTTCCGGGGGTTATGTTCTGGCTCTTTGATCCCGCCTCTCAACTGTCAATCAACTGATGCACAGGTTCCTGAGCCTATTGGGCTCTATCATATCTACACTTGAAACTGTGTATGGAGTCAGCCTCCACCACATCACTTCCTAATGCATTCCATTTGTCTACTTCCCTGACACTGAAAAAAAACTTTCTAATGTCTCTATGGCTCATTTGGTCACTCAGTTTCCACCTGTGTCTCCTAGTGCGTGTGCCCCTTGTGTTAAATAGTCTGTCGTAATCTACCATATCAATTCCTCCGAGAAACTTGTATGTGGTGATCATGTCCCCTCTAACTCTTCTGTCTCCCAGTGACCTGAGGTCTAATTCCCGTAGTCTCTCCTCGTAGCTCATACCCCTCAATTCGGGTACTAGTCAGGTGGCAAACCTTTAAATCTTTTCCAGCTTAGTCTTATGCATGACTAGATATGGACTCCATGCTGGAGCCGCATACTCCAGGATTGGTCTGACACCTAGTGTGTGATGAGTGATGTGCAGTGTATTGTGGGTGATGTGCAGTGTATGTATTGTGGGTGATGTGCAGTGTATGTATTGTGGGTGATGTGCAGTGTATTGTGGATGATGTGCAGTGTATTGTGGATGATGTGCAGTGTATTGTGGGTGATGTGCATTGTATGTATTGTGGGTGATGTGCAGTGTATTGTGGATGATGTGCAGTGTATTATGGGTGATGTGCAGTGTGTGATGGGTGATGTGCAGTGTATTATGGGTGATGTGCAGTGTGTGGTGGGTGATGTGCAGTGTGTGGTGGGTGATGTGCAGTGTATTATGGGTGATGTGCAGTGTGTGATGGGTGATGTGCAGTGTATTATGGGTGATGTGCAGTGTGTGGTGGGTGATGTGCAGTGTGTGGTGGGTGATGTGCAGTGTATTATGGGTGATGTGCAGTGTGTGGTGGGTGATGTGCAGTGTGTGGTGGGTGATGTGCAGTGTATTATGGGTGATGTGCAGTGTGTGGTGGGTGATGTGCAGTGTTGGGTGGGTGATGTGCAGTGTGTGGTGGGTGATGTGCAGTGTTGGGTGGGTGATGTGCAGTGTGTGGTGGGTGATGTGCAGTGTATTATGGGTGATGTGCAGTGTGTGGTGGGTGATGTGCAGTGTATTATGGGTGATGTACAGTGTGGTGGGTGATGTACAGTGTATTATGGGTGATGTGCAGTGTATTATGGGTGATGTGCAGTGTGTGGTGGGTGATGTGCAGTGTATTGTGGGTGATGTGCAGTGTATTATGGGTGATGTGCAGTGTATTATGGGTAATGTGCAGTGTGTGGTGGGTGATGTGCAGTGTATTGTGGGTGATGTGCAGTGTATTATGGGTGATGTGCAGTGTATTATGGGTGATGTGCAGTGTATTGTGGGTGATGTCTCAACCCACCCCTCCCTTTGCCGCCCACCTCACCCCATCCCTCCCCTTGCCGCCCACCTCACCCCACCCCTCCCCTTGCCGCCCACCACACCCCATCCCTCACCTTGCCGCCCACCTCACCCCACCCCTCACCTTGCCGCCCACCTCACCCCACCCCTCACCTTGCCGCCCACCTCACCCCACCCCTCACCTTGCCGCCCACCTCACCCCACCCCTCACCTTGCCGCCCACCTCACCCCACCCCTCACCTTGCCGCCCACCACACCCCATCCCTCACCTTGCCGCCCACCTCACCCCATCCCTCACCTTGCCACCCACCTCACCCCATCCCTCACCTTGCCGCCCACCTCACCCCATCCCTCACCTTGCCGCCCACCACACCCCATCCCTCACCTTGCCGCCCACCTCACCCCACCCCTCACCTTGCCGCCCACCTCACCCCACCCCTCACCTTGCCGCCCACCTCACCCCATCCCTCACCTTGCCGCCCACCTCACCCCATCCCTCACCTTGCCGCCCACCTCACCCCATCCCTCACCTTGCCGCCCACCTCACCCCACCCCTCACCTTGCCGCCCACCTCACCCCACCCCTCACCTTGCCGCCCACCTCACCCCGCGCCTGGTGATGTGAAGGGGCAGAAGCAAGGGTCATAAAGTCCTTATTAAATTGGTTGTTTCAGCACTGATTGCCCGGTTAATTTTGTTTACCATTACCTCTTGCCAGAGACCTCTGATGGTCAGCACTCCCATACGTCAGCTGACTTGATCTCAAGAAGTAAACAAGAAATTATCTTTATCACAGTTTCTTGCAGTACACGAAGCCTAATCTATTGAAGGTGGTCACAGGCACTAATCGCAGCTTAAGGTTTAACACAGGTCACTCTGCATACTGTGCTAGGTGTGAAGGAGACGCTAGACATCATCGGAGTGGTTGACAGCGGCTGGAGCTCCACAGTCAAGTAAAGCCACAGTTGCTAAAATCAATACCATCCTGACAGGAGCCGCCTGAGTTCATCCCTGACCTGCCGGACTCGTCTCCAGCGGGGCAGCCAGCAAGTATACCCAAGCGATTCTTAATCGAAGAGGCGGACTACTGCCAGAAGCGGCCCGACTTTCAAGTCATCGCCTATGTGCATTCCGCCATCACTAATGTTAAAAACAGGAGGGATGTCCGCGTCACCTGGGGCAACGCTTCGAACTACGACCTGGGCGACGTTACCGTCAAGGTGGGCGTTGTCTTCATGGTGGGACGAGCCAAGAACGCCTTGGAGCGACACATTGTTCAAGTGGAAAGTCATCGCTACCATGACATTGTCCAGGTGAGATAGCACTGCTATAAAATTGTTCACTGAGGTTAACACCGTCACGTTATTGTCCATGAAAGTTATTACTCTGCAGAAGTGCTTGTTCTGGTGGCATACATGCGGATCACCTCTTCATTTAGCACTAATCACAATAAAGACTTTGACAGAGACGCCTGGAAACTCATGAGTTTCAACAGGTTGTCAACATCAGGTTTGCTATTTGGCTCTCTCATGAGAAAATATTCCATGCATCTCTAACAATATTCCTTCACTAAGTTTTGGAAATAACAATGTTGAGAGAATTAATATGCACAATTTCCCTGACCATTCTCTGTGTACTCTTTGTCACACTTCCATGAATATGCAACATAATACAGCTTCACAACAATGGCACAGAGTAGACTGTAGAGAGCAAACAACCTGAAAATAAAGCAACCATTACATAGAACGGCTCTCAGTCTATGCAACATTTTACTTCAGAGAAATGTTGTTGAGTTGGGGAGGGAGTAGGGGATTATCCTTCCCCACTGGGGAGGGAGTAGGGGATTATCCTTCCCCACTGGGGAGGGAGTAGGGGATTATCCTTCCCTATTCGGGAGGGAGTAGGGGATTATCCTTCCCCATTGGGGAGGGAGTAGGGGATTATCCTTCCCCATTGAGGAGGGAGCAGGCTATTATTTTTCCCCACTGGAGAGGGAATAGGAAATTATTCTTCCCCACTGGGGAGGGAATAGGGGATTATCCTTCCCCACTGGGGAGGAAAAGCCCGATAAAGCAATAATAAAGGGTTATCTTCTTGAGGTTATCTTGAGAGGGCTTTCAGGGCTTAGCGTCCCCGCGGTCCTCGACCAGGCCTGTTCTTTGTTACGCACCCCCAGGAAGCAGCCAGCAGCAGCTGTCTAACTCCCAGGTACCTATTTACTGCTAGGTAACAGGCGCATCAGGGTGAAAGAAACTCTGCTTATTTGTTTCCGCCTCCACCGGGGATCAAACCCGGAACCTCAGGACTACGAATCCGAAGGGCTGTCCACTCAGCTGTCAGGCCCTTACTAAGGGGGACTCAACACAGGTGATAACCCTCTTGCTTGAACAGCTGTGTCTTGCAGGCCACACTTGTGGCATATATTATCTCCCACCTGCTCACCAGGGGCCGGATACACCAAGCAGTTATAGAAGAATTTACGATTTTTTTTTCTTATCGCTTTCATGATGGTTATGTTCCGAGCAGCGAGTGAACAACCTGTTGACTCGCAACACTGAAATCTCTGAGAACACTACGTCACCCCCGGGGCACTTGTAGCTTCCTGTAAGCTTCACCCTACGTCACCCCCGGGGCACTTGTAGCTTCCTGTAAGCTTCACCCTACGTCACCCCCGGGGCACTTGTAGCTTCCTGTAAGCTTCACCCTACGTCACCCCCGGGGCACTTGTAGCTTCCTGTAAGATTCACCCTACGTCACCCCCGGGGCACTTGTAGCTTCCTGTAAGCTTCACCCTACGTCACCCCCGGGGCACTTGTAGCTTCCTGTAAGCTTCACCCTACGTCACCCCCGGGGCACTTGTAGCTTCCTGTAAGCTTCACCCTACGTCACCCCCGGGGCACTTCTAGCTTCCTGTAAGCTTCACACTACGTCACCCCCGGGGCACTTGTAGCTTCCTGTAAGCTTCACACTACGTCACCCCCGGGGCACTTTTAGCTTCCTGTAAGCTTCACCCTACGTCACCCCCGGGGCACTTGTAGCTTCCTGTAAGCTTCACCCTACGTCACCCCCGGGGCACTTGTAGCTTCCTGTAAGCTTCACCCTACGTCACCCCCGGGGCACTTGTAGCTTCCTGTAAGCTTCACACTACGTTACCCCCGGGGCACTCGTAGCTTCCTGTAAGCTTCACACTACGTCACCCCCGGGGCACTTGTAGCTTCCTGTAAGCTTCACACTACGTCACCCCCGGGGCACATGTAGCTTCCTGTAAGCTTCACCCTACGTCACCCCCGGGGCACTTGTAGCTTCCTGTAAGCTTCACCCTACGTCACCCCCGGGGCACTTGTAGCTTCCTGTAAGCTTCACTCTACGTCACCCCCGGGGCACTTGTAGCTTCCTGTAAGCTTCACACTACGTCACCCCCGGGGCACATGTAGCTTCCTGTAAGCTTCACACTACGTCACCCCCGGGGCACTTGTAGCTTCCTGTAAGCTTCACCCTACGTCACCCCCGGGGCACTTTTAGCTTCCTGTAAGCTTCACACTACGTCACCCCCGGGGCACTTGTAGCTTCCTGTAAGCTTCACACTACGTCACCCCCGGGGCACTTTTAGCTTCCTGTAAGCTTCACCCTACGTCACCCCCGGGGCACTTGTAGCTTCCTGTAAGCTTCACACTACGTCACCCCCGGGGCACTTTTAGCTTCCTGTAAGCTTCACACTACGTCACCCCCGGGGCACTTGTAGCTTCCTGTAAGTTTCACACTACGTCACCCCCGGGGCACTTTTAGCTTCCTGTAAGCCTCACCCTACGTCACCCCCGGGCACTTTTAGCTTCCTGTAAGCTTCACACTACGTCATCCCCGGGGCACTTTTAGCTTCCTGTAAGCTTCACCCTACGTCACCCCCGGGCACTTTTAGCTTCCTGTAAGCTTCACACTACGTCACCACCGGGGCACTTGTAGCTTCATGGAAGCTTCACACTACGTCACCCCCGGGGCAATCGTAGCTTCTTGTAAGCTTCACCCTACGTCACCCCCGGGGCACTTGTAGCTTCTTGTAAGCTTCACCCTACGTCACCCCCGGGGCACTTGAAGCTTCACACTACGTCACCCCCGGGGCAATCGTAGCTTCTTGTAAGCTTCACACTACGTCACCCCCCGGGGCACTCGTAGCTTCAAGTAAGCTTCACACTACGTCACCCCCTGAGCACTTGTAGCTTCATGTAAGCTTCACACTACGTCACCCCCTGAGCACTTGTAGCTTCTTGTAAGCTTCACACTACGTCACCCCCAGAGCACTCGTATCTTCATGCAAGCTTTACACTACGTCACAACCGGAGTACTTATAGCTTCATATAAGCTTCACACTAGGTCTCCACCGGCGCACTCGTAGCTTCATGTAAGCTTTACACTACGTCATCCCTTGGGAACTCGTAGTTTCATATGGGCTTCACATTGTGTTAACCCCGCGGCATTCATAGCTTCATGTAAGATTCACAACACGTCACTCTCAGGGCACTCGGTGCTTCATGTAGGCTTCACACTACGTCACCCAAGGAGCACTCGTAACTTCACACTACATCACCTGCTGGGACCTCGTAGCTTCAAACTATTTCATCCCTGGAACAACTTCAATTTAAGCTTCAAACTATGTCATCCCTGTAGCAATCATAGCTTCACACAAACGGCATCTCCGGGGCATTCGTAGCTTCACATTACGTCACCATAGGGGCACTCGTACCTTCACACTACGTCACCCTTTGAGCACTAGTAGCTTAAATTAAGCTTCACACTACGTCACCCCCGGGGCACTCGTAACTTTATGTAAGCTTCACACTACGTCACCCCCCCCCCCCGCGCACTCGTGGCTTCACACTACGTCATCCCTGGGGCACTCGTAGTTTCATATGGGCTTCACACCATGTTAACCCCGGGGCATTCATAGCTTTATGTAAGCTTCACAACACGTCACCCTCAGGGCACTCGTAGCCTAGTTTAGGCTTCACACTACGTCACCCCCAGCGAACTCGCGGCTTCATGTAAGCGTGCAACCCATCCTCTGAACTGACAGTTCGATTTAATACTAAGTGTAATTAGTACATTTCCTTTCTGTCATAAACAGTGCATAATTGTACTTACGGGGCTGTTACATTTAAACAATTCCATCCCCCGATTTAAATCTCATCGTTTTTTATTAAGACACTCAAAAATTTAGAATAAAGTTTTCAATTTGCCATATAAAAGTTTTAAATATCACGAATTTCTTTTTCAGGTTTATTAAACAATATAGATTTTATACAAAATTTTAAAATATTTTGAGTTACTTTACAATTTATTGATATATTTTAGTTTTGTTTTATTTGTTTTATAAAACTGTAATATCAGTATAGCTATAGACTAAGTACTAATTGTAATTAAGAAGCAATAAAATTATTATCTTCAAAAACTAAGACAGTTAAGTGAAGTTGTGGTTTTCTATTCAGTTTTTCAGGTAAACTCAAATATTCACAATATATTTGGCAATACGATTTAATACTAAGTGAAAATAAGTACAATTCCTAACTGCTATGAATAGTACATAATTGCACTGATTTGTCTTCTTACATTTACATCCCCATTTTCGGAGGACGGGCTGAAGCGTCACACCCTGTCACCCCCAGAGCACTCGTAGCTTCATGTATGCTTCACACTACGTCACCTCCTGAGCACTTGTAGCTTCATGTATGCTTCACAACACGTCACCCTCACGGCACTCGAAGCTTCGTGTAGGCTTCACAATACGTCACCATTGGAGCACTCGTAACTTCACTCTAAGTCTCTCCCTTGGGACCTTGTAGCTTCATGTAAGCTTCAAACTGTCATCCCTGGAGCAATCACAGCTTCATGTAAGGTTCACACTACGTCATCACCGTAACACTCGTAACTTCATGAAAGTTCACATTACGTTTGCCCCAGAGATCTCGTAGCTTCAAGTTAGCTTCACACCACGTGGCACCCAGAGCGCTCGTAGCTTCATGTAAGCTTCACACTACGTCACCCCCTGAGCACTTGTAGCTTCATGTTTTAATTGTCTGACGCCTGAACGCGTTTCATAATTCGTTTAGGCGTCAGACAATTAAAAAATAAATTTCGGAGAAGTGTTATTTTTATTATCACCGACAGTGAAGAAAAACATAAGAAATATTGAGAAGATTCGTGTTAAAATTATTAATGTTACCTTTTCGGTCATATTCAACAACATATCTTTACAAGAAAGACTGCTACCAAAATATACTAATATACTAATATATATATATATATATATATATATATATAT